ATCGGGTTCGCAGAGATAGCAAGTGAAGCTTCGATGACAGAAAAATCAATAATGCATGCTTCTTCTGCCCATATCCCGTCTGTGTTTAGTGAAGAGATGGACAATTCTATATTCGCTTCTCCCACCTCTCCCCCACCCCCTCGGCATCATTTTTATCGAGTAACCCTCCATCCAGGCCAAAGCCAGTCGAGTCTCAATCGCTACTGGATGAGAAGCAATACAAGTTGAATGTCACGGACATATTTCTGACCAAGTATTACACTGAAGGCAGTCTGAAGTAGTATTAGAATCCGGTAAATTGTAGTCCCGCGGACGGCGCAGTGCTTAGTGGGTTAGAGTCCTACAACAGCAGATAAATATCTTAACGGCGAAATCCTATCTGCATAATGTATTAGCACTTAACCTCCTAAAAGACGCGTTAAAACAGAACTAGCAAATGGTCCAAATGCCAAATTATAAAGTAACATTTATATTAAATTATATTATATTAAATTAAAAAGTATATTCGACCAGTTAAATGTTTATAGGTAACGTTATCAAACATTTTTCAACGTGAAAATCCTCGTTTTTTTTGTCTGATTGCTTTTCTCCGTCCTCTCCAGGCCTCTGTGATTATGACCGTTACCTTTAGATGTCAGTGGAAGTATGCAGGAACGATTTCACCCTGAGGAAGTTCTGCCGTCTCTCACTCGAATGCGCCGTTCATATACTCGCAGTTCAGCGAGATAGATGAAAGGGAACATGAAAGGCTAGAAGAAACTAGAAAAAGGGTGGGCCGCAGAGAAACAGGGTTTACGAATGTAAGCACGCATTCTGCCATTCACACAGCGACCTCCCCCGCGTGTCCCTAGTCTCTACCCGTATATGCAGGATACAGGTTCCTGCGGCCAAGGCTACGCCTATAGGTTTCGAACGACGACATGCATCTCATCATCCCGGCTTAAATAAAAACAACCAACAAGAACTACAATCGAATTAGACTTACAACCCGCCGAGGAGAAAACTATAGGTTAAATGTGGGTAACGTGCGCGAGCGACGAAATAAATCATTTTGTCGAAGGCATAGAGCGAGTTCATTGATCAATAGATATCGCGGGGCTCACCGTGTAGTTTTTGGCCACGTATCGATCAACTCCGCAGCCCAAAAGATCGTGCCAACTGTGAACTCGTACAGCCAGGATGCGCGAAAATTCGTTTATATAACCCTTCGGTGAGCTTCATGCCAGCGAAATTTACACAATAGTATCGACTTGCAGTTTCAACTATCGCATCTATCCATTGATACGTTTAGTAGCTTAAGTAAATCGAATGATGAAATAAGCTAGACGTCCTCAGACACGCCATATTTTAAAAAATCACTGTAATTCCATGCAACGTCGTTCTAAAGCCGTGTACGTTGTTTTCTATGGCTTCAGAGTGATCCGCCTTTGAGAGCTTCTCTCTCGTTCACCCACTTCTTCATTTTATTTAATTTCGTTCTCGTCGTCTTCTTTTTATACTTCTCCGCATTGAGAGCTGGATGTGCACAGGACCACGAGGATCCGATGGACCTACCCGGGAGGAGGGGTTGATTCAACGCGCCTTCTAAGTCTGTCAGACTTCTATTTTACACAAGCAATCTCGCGCGTGTTTTGCATCGAACATATTTTCCATGTGCGCGCTTTATCTACTACATATGTTAATGATCGGCCTAGCCTTGGCCGACAGCAACGCCGTCGGTAGCGATTTTTGGAAAAAAGGCTAGTCTATTATTTACTAGAACAAAAAAACTCGGGTTTTTGTGCTAGTATTGTCTCCTTTGTCGTTCTTGTTATCACTCCTCGAGACTCGTGTGCTCTACGCACCATTCGGGCCCATCTGCGACTGAGGAAAGCTCGTGTTAGCATTAGCTGGCAAGAGAAGGGCTGGCAGCGCTTGGGGCTCCCGCGAGACAGGGAGCCCCACTCAAAGAAGTGAATTGAAGTACGTGAGGCAGCAGCAACGGCGGCACCATATTCAAGCATTCGCACGTCTTTAACGATCGAGCAGCTGTAGATTGTAACGAGATTAGGCTCAATTTTTTAAATGTGCGAAGAGAATGATACAGTGTTGTTTTCAGCTGGGGCTGCTATTGCTATCTGCTATGTGAGAGGTGGTTGTATCTGGTCCTTTTGCGCTCGTAAGTGCCTTGCAGACGGAAAGAGGACAGAAGGCAGGAAGTTGGCACACAGTCATGACAAAGGTTTAGTCCCAGCCATCCTGGCTTGTAACTACCATTGCGATCACTCCTAGGCCGAGCTGATGTTCCTTGGCTAGTCGGAAACAACGAAATAGCCTTACAGGCAATGAACGAGATGGTCCATGTATCATGTACGAAATTTGCTTGTTATTGTAAAACAGTTGCGGAACTTGTGTAAACTAAGAAAGAAGTATCAAAGAGTAGATTTTGTGGGCCTCTGACAACTGCCATTAATAACCTTACAGATGATGATGGCGGCGTTATGCCTTGGGTAAAATGTTATCCCGCTATTTTTCAAACGCGACAATTCTCATAATTTCTGCATAACACAGAGAAGAAAACCCCCAAGTCTGATTTCAACAAAACAATCCATAGACATCATTGCAAAGGTTCGACCTAATTTCCTTTTGCCTCCGAATTGATTAATACTGCGTGCAAATTTTTACAAACAGTTTTAGATTATCGTAGATCTGAGCATATCTCCCCGACAAACAAGTTGCTATGTGGTTTTCAGCTGACCCTCAGCTATCGTCCTTCCCGCCCTCTTATGTGGTCGGATCTTCGGATTAATCTCCCGATATGCTTCAGACCGTCAGGACGAGCGGACTGGACGTGCCTGCGGTGTCTCCAATAAACCTATGAGACGGCAGTGCAACCGTACCAGCAGGTTTCTACTTAGTTGGTAGACAACAGCAGAAATCAATGAAAGTGGCTATTCATATAAAAAAGAAAAATTACTATTACTAGTTTGTTGAAGTGCGCCTTTAAATAATGTGTTTATACCGTTCCGGGGTACGTTAACGATTGATCCTGTGCAACGTCTGCATAGTAAAACAACGTAATGAACTTCGTATCTGAGTGGCGGAGAAACAGTGTCATTTCTATAAAAGCTGGAACGGAAGTTTTCTGTCATCCGGAGCACCATGGGAATGGAGAACGCTCGCTTTCGATTTTACAAATGTTTATCTCAGACTCCGCTCTGACCTTCTAAAAAATTCGGAAGGTTGACAGGTTCAACTGAGGTTGCATCTTGCAACAATTTCTTATACCTGTTGTTAGACTGGCTATATGGCAACTATCCGTTCCATACCGTATCATACAAAGTCGTTCTATTTTAAGATAGTTTCTAGAAAATAACGAAAAGTAATTAATTTTGTAAGCAAGGAAGTTGAAAGGCTATACAATGTAAAAGCGGGGCTGATGTATATGAAGGGAGTTCGGTTATCTGTCTGTGCGTGTACTCGAAAGCTCCACAGGTGAGGAGATAGGCATTGTGAGTTCAGGTGGCTTTATAAATAGTCATGGCAAACTATGTGTCCTAAACGGCTCTGATTTGTCACACAAACCAACTGAAAATCAGTCCATATAAATACACTATATATGACCCTGCATGAGCACGTTAAAAGTCATTTATCTGGAACTTAGTCATTAAATAGATATATTCACACATGTGAATTTTCAATAAAAATTACACCACAGTAACGAAGTTGCTTTCCGATACTGGTAGAAATCGTCGCGAAAACCAGAGCGCTTTCTTTCTGCGGGTTTGAGTCGATGTCTTCGAACTTCGCCCCAGGGCAGTTCTACGGAAGCCTTGATTGATATATTTGATTTACATACTATTCTTGTTTAGTTAGACGTATTGCCTGTCCTCGAGATATTCGTAAGTTAAATTGGCCTTCAACCGGCATCTAACAAACGTTTGTAGTCCGAATCGACTTTTAGCCGCACGGGTAATGAATGTCCACAAATGGAGTCGACCTCTTAAATGTCCTGCTCCACATTAATCCTTCGATTTGTATAATAAATATAAATAAGGGAGCATCTCGAGATCACATTGACAGTCAGACTATCAGACATCACCGTTGCTTTCCGCCATCTCCAGCCGAAAATACTGACTTGGAGTATAGAAATTCGTCAGAGAAACGTTCATTGATGCCGACACTTTCAATAAAACTCAGTTCTTCTCAACTTTGCCATTCTGCTATAGAAATTAGTTACTTCTGTAAGCTATAAACTATAATATTTCTATGAAGACTTTCCTACGAACACCTTTGTAGAATTAGCTCAAAATATCTTGTAAGCCAAGGGCAACACGACCAGTGCGAGTGCATACATACGTTATAGCAAAATGGGTTAGAATAACACTTATATATAATGCAGATAATCAGTAGTTAGACTCAGCCCCCCATATAAACAGATACTATCGACGTTGTTGGAACATCATTGATAAGACGAATCCTTAACATCGTATGGTTCGTTCGGATCTGATTATCAACCCCGCTCGTGCATCCAGTCGGCAGGTTTCAGTTTAGAAAACGGGCGGTGGATAAAAATGGAGTGATAACAGATTGATGATCCTATAGCAACCTAACCGCATATAAAATCCCACTATGTTCTTCAACAAACTTTCAGTTTTTCTTTTTCAACTAATGTGTTTATAATAAAAATGAAATTTGTAATGCCAGATGTTATGTTGGTTAAAAAGCTTGAGGAAATACGCGCACGAGTAGGACCGGCCTATAGTACCTTTCAACTTGTAATAGGTTTGATATGCATCAGATTTTTGTCTAGAGGTTTTCAGTTAACATTAACAGCATTCGCTAAGGCCAGCGACAGCACTCTTCACCGATTGCCCCCAGCCCTTATCCTTCTTCACTAGGGTCTCGTCTCCGTCATACATTTTTTGTCTCGATCCTGACTCCGCTGCTATTACCTTCGGTCTTTTTGTACGATTCATACATATACACATATATACCTCGTGTATCACTCGTGTGTTTACCTTTATTTCCTTCGAAGGGTCGACGTTTTGCGACGCTGTTGGGCTGTCATTTGCACGTGCTGCCTCGGCTCGGGGCAGGATCTCCAGCCGGCCCAGGAGCAGGAGACCCGCGACCAGAGTCAAAATGACCCACGAATTTGGCCCGCGCATTCCGACTTCGCTGCGTTGCCGGCCACCGTCGCACTGCTATAGCGAAATGCCGCTCCGGACAACAAATCGATTCTTCTTCTGCTATTTACTTGGACGCCACTAGGGCACTAGAAACCAGCGCTTTAATTAAATTCAGTAGCTCCTAGCACGTATACGTAGAGAGTTGCGGATCCGAATGCGACCAACAGGGTATAATTGTCGATATGGCGGGCTGACTTCTTCGATGGCACATCACAAGGTTACCAGTTAAGTTTTTGTAGCCAGCTTGCTGCACTGACACAACTCACGAAACACTTGTTGACATCTGTATTTGAAACAACGATCGTCTTTGTCATATACAAAATCAGCGAACCCGGTAGCAGTAGGCAAAGGTGAAGTTTCCAGCCGCTTGACCGTTAATATTACACTTTAAAATTGACGTTAGCAATGGTGCTGACTTTATAGACCTCACTCTTGTTTTGCACTTCAGTTCGAGTCTTTTTTCCTACCTCGCACAGAGTTGTTATCAGTGAATTGTAGGAAGTTACTTGGTTGGTAACCGTACTTGAACAGTAAAAGTAGAGCGAGCAATGTGGTCTGTTCTACGAGTAGCAATACATGATCTATCGGCACCAGGAGTGGTCAAGGACCTGTCTCTCAATCACGCCCGACTGTCTTGATACACTGGCTAGCCTCTTTAAACGTGATGGTCAAAAGCGACTCTGACCTGACTTACTCTCCCATTGGTTGCCGGCCGAGTCTCGACTCCTGAGAGTCCTGGCTGGTGCGCAAACAGTCTAGCACAAGGCACGCTTTAACGGCTTTCCTTTCCTCCAAGGGTTCCCTTCCTCCCAGCGGTGGCAGTGGCCGGAGAGGCGAGGGTGACCCGCGGGAGAGGACGCAGTTCCCTCTGGAAACGGTTGTATAGCGTAGCATCCCATGGCAAAGTGCAAGATAACATACTCACGATAAATAACGACAGAAAATAAAGAACCGGGCATGACATCATCAGCAAACAAACACTGGGCACCTGACGTTTGGCACTCTAGAAACTGATATGAGCACGCGGTGAAGCAACTGGGCTTCATGAAGGCTGTCGGCATCATCGCAGCGTTGACTGCTCTCAAATATGCATGTTATGCTGAGTCCCATATCAAAGATATCGTCGCAGTACTAGGCGATTTAGATGATACATGAAATGTGTCGACATATTGTAGAAGAATTGATTGGCGTTCTATTTTAATGTACGCAATACTTATGGACGCCGGCCAGTCCTGTACCATAGCAGTACGTTCTTAATCTGCATTTTCGTCTAGAACCCGTGCAGTAATGGGTGTTGTATACGGCAATTGGCGCAGTCTGTGATCCTTGCCTAATAGACAATATGAAGTGTAACATTAAAATTATGTCTTCGTTATAAGTCTAGTATAAAAAAAAACTCTCATATATTAATCCAGTCGTAAAGCTGGTATTAGGCCCTTTCACAGCGACTCGTAACAGCCCGATATATTTAGTGACCGATATTCCGATGTTTATTGAAGTAATTTGAAAGGCATTCAATCTTTTGTAAATTGAGAACATTTGCAGAAGTACAAAAGGCAAAACTGGCTGAGGTAAATTTTTCGTTCTTTCCGACCTCAGCTAGGACCGACGGGTAGGCGCAAGCAAACAAAAGTAGTCGCCATATCATCATAACACGATATGCAGTGCGCGGCCTCCATCACCTCCTTTGCCATTACGGCACAAGATCGGGTAAGTATCGAACCCAATAAGGATCGTGTCTGCTAATTTTGTACCCTTACCGCTTCCAAACCTAATTCCAAATTGTATCGGCTAATAAGATCAATGAATCAACTTGTACGCTCTAATATCTAGCCCATTAAGCTTCTTTATACATACACATGGTCATGTAGTATAATATATACGTTGCATATCTGTAACGTTTAGTACATATCGTATATTTATAAAATCGTGCAAAGTAATGTCAAACCCAGACACGTTTTTCCTTATGCCTCATTGCAGTTTCAGGATTTGTGAAATGCTTACAAACGTTCGGTATGTAGGTAAACAAGATTTTCTTTCCACTAGAATTGCAATGGCCTTTTTGATTTAATTACCCGAGCCGGGGAAAAAACCTGGAGATTGTACGATACATTGAGGGGGTTTATGGAGAATTCCTGGACAAAAGTATCGTGACGATGAGTCAGATACGCTTAACGAAGCTATAAAGTCCGCGTCAGTTTTAAGATATATAGGTCAGCGTGGAAAGACGTCAACGAAGAGCTGAACAAAATCTATAAAAGTGTTGTATTCTTGTGCGTCTGCTCGAAGAAGCGATGAACAGACAAGTGACCCAACCTCCCTATGCGATATGTATTTGCATAATCTATGTACACTTGTTTCTATAAATGCGGCTATGGTAAGTTCGCCCCCAGATGTTCTGTTGAGTTGGCGATATTTTATTACCAATATAAAGAACATACGTACATACAGAGAAAGCAGTCAATGTAAAAATCTCTAGTTTTATCATTAAATATTTTTGAGGGGTATATTTCTAACTAATCTTTAAACAAGGACATTCTAATTACATCTCTGTGAATGGTCAAATTTTACAAAAAAACCCCTTATCACCACATGTGGCTCAAACTTTGATTTTTTTTTACAGGTAATCAAGCAGCCATAAGCAACTATCTGTAGTAACCATATAGGTATATAACCATAACTAGCTAGAATATCTTTTTGCTTTTCGGAAAATGATATAGTCTCTCCTCCGTTTCGAGACGTTTCGCTGTCATCGGGAAGGATCGCCAGTGCGTAATGTGAATTGTCGTAAAGACGCTGAGTGGATAGCGTACGCCATAATGATGTTGCATATATTGCAATACAAACAACATTGACTTGATTTAACCTCACCCTGCGTGCAAACGTGACCTTCGCAAATGGTAACTAGCATGCCTGTATCCTTCGCCGTAGGAAGTTCTCAAATCCTCCCTCCACAAATAATGATCTTGGTAGAATACGACGTGCGTAGAAACACTGTGAGTCATTCACTGGACATACATCGTATCCACGGACACACGCCTGTAGAACAAATGGAGTCAATTGCAAGTGTTGGTAAGTTCGTGGTCATATTGCGAATAACTTAAGTCACTCCGATTGCAGGGGATCGGCAGATGGCTAGTTGGGGCATTAGATGGGGTATTGAATCATGGCAAGATATGGTTTTATCAGGTCAAACGAGAACCGAAAGCATTACATATGTTACCAGGTGACACGGTAGAGGTTGGCCTATCCATTAATCATAATAAATCTGTTAACGCCCAATGTTCGATTGCTAATTAAAGGGTCCAATGGCTAAATTATATGGCCAATATCAGGGAGCAAATGTTACAACAGGATACGGAACATTTTTGTGACAGGAACGCTAATTGGAGGCTGTATGGGTAAATTTAGTGGTAAGATGAATTAAACTTAGGATTGACTTTAAGTGTTGATTTTATGATAGGACTGCAGTTTTAGGACGACTATCTAATCTTCGGATATTGTGCAAGATTCCACTAGAAGCATACCTTTTGATGAGACAAGAAGAAAGAGTATTACGAATTAAGAGCAACATTTGCGTCCAAGTGATTCATTGTACCGTAATGAAGAATACTTTATCTCTATTTTTTTGCTTTTTACGATCATTGTAATATTTCTATACATAGTTCTAGCTTTCTAACACCCACTAGAACAAAATCAGGGGGCGTCCAAGCTCGTCCCATCCAGATATCGTTTAGTCAGATTTCTTATGCCAAAGAGCGACTATAAAAATCGAGAGTAAGTCAACCGCGTACCAGATCAATCATCGAAACAGCTCGCAAACCGACTCCCGTAGTGGAGTCTCGCTACGTCTGTCGATCGTCTTAAATGGCGTCTTGATAGTTGAAGTTGATCCAAAGAATAGACTCTCTAGAGAAATTTTTGATTACCTTGGAAGGTAACCTACAGTACCTAATTACAACGGTTCTGGTAATCAAGCTTGAAATAGTAAGTTGTTCGTCACCTAATCAAGTTCTTGAAAAGCTTCATCTCGACCAACCGAAATAATTTTTGAGCGAACGTAGGTTACTTGCTAACACCCGATACGGCTTCCGTCAACACTATAACAAAACGCAACATTATGCATACCGAACAAATTCAACGAGCATTACGTTCGAGGGTGAAAAGTAAGCTATAAATCAGTACCTGTCAAAAAGCTTTATGTGGACAATTTTTCTCAAGCTGCCATTTCTACGCTTTTCTTGCTAGTATAACCCAATGGGCTAATGCCTTAAGTCCTGCATCATAAACGAATGAAATATGAAGTTCTTCAAGGTAGTTTACTATCGAAGATTACTCTGTTTTCTACTTTTGCAAGCAATACCGTCAAACCCTGCCATCTATCGAAAGATCTCTTCCATTTACAGCCAACACCAATTTTTACATTAATGGTGTGGATTCTTACGGGCTAATCAATAAGAGCCCATACACATTTCCAGACTGGGACGATATTGATCGTCTTCCAATGGACGTAGTGAAGACAACAAACAAAGTCCATTTAGACGCCACTATAAACTCTGTTTTTAATATTGGTTAATAATCATCGCTAGATTGATCAGCGCCCATTTGACAAACGTAATAATTAATATTAGTCCGAATGGGGACCCACTTATCGAAAGGCTTGGCTGCCTGAATCTAAACCCTGCCGTTCTTTGATGTCGGTTGTTCCTTAGATCTATCTGCATTATTATATGGTCTTGGATTGAGTTATTCTAATCGAATTGCTTTTTGTCCTACCCTACAGAAAAATATGGCCCAGGTTGTATTTTTAAACTAATTCCTTTTTTGTCTTATTTTACATTTTATTTAAAACCTTAGCATTTTATCATTGATATTGCATCTTATTTAAAACCAGTATTTAGTTTACGCAACACTTACCATTGAATGCACATAATTAACCGCAGTTTCTACTCCACCTATACAGCCTGAAAGTTCTAGTGGTGCCTTTGAGTCCTGACGCCAGACAAAAGTACGAGTTCCGGAAAAAATATTCCCGCAGTCGAAGGGTCTTTTTTTTACCCTATCTTCCTACCTATGAATATCTGTACGAATAACTCTTTGTCTTAAAATGATATTTTTTTATAAGGTGATTTGACAGAGCATGACCTCTGCAACCTCATATTACACATAGAATCTCGATAATTAAAATCGGGAGCTATGCTCGATTGCGTTCATTGTTATAAACAAATCATTATATAATTTGTAGTAACTATCGTAGCGCACAAATAACCGCCTCTGTTTTGTTCTAGCTGAACTTTCTATGCTAGTCCGGACGCCCAATATATACTCCCAAAGAAATATACCCAACACAATAGAAACAGTACTAGAATGCTGGAAAAAGCAGTGCATATGGTATGATCCGCATATAACTAATTATACACGATATCTACAATGCCTAAACGACCATCAACGTTATTTATAATCTAGAATATTCTAGGAGAATTTTTTTCATTCTATTCATGACGTTACTACAGAGGGTTTTTCTCCAGAAGTCAAAATTCAGTCGAATACCGCTATTTCCACGAAGCAGACCTGTAAATATTCATAATAGACAATCTTAAAATTAATATCAGGAAAATATTTATCGCGCCTATGATTTAACATAACCTTACTCAACACTTATACTCTGATCGAAACAACGGGTCGGCTGAGTTTTTGACGTAGCTTT